TTTGGACTAGACAGAAAAGACTAGAGAATGATGATTTATGGCTGATTTTTCTCTCTCTTAAACAGTTACTGTGGTGATTTTTACTACATGGGTAAAAACAAAGCAAGTTACTTGGTCTAAAATTAATGGTTTTGATGACAATGAGAATAGATGCATATGAATATCTCAAATTTAAGTTCCAATTCTTCCTGTTTGAATGATGCTTGAAAACTTGCAAAAAGTTTAACATGAGATGGGAGCAAATCATAATCTTGTATCAAATATTAATCAGAAATGGTGTGGGGGGAGCAAATGTCGACATTAGCATTATGAGAAAAGATTAGGATTTAAGAAGAAGGATGAAGATTGGCTAAATTGGAGAAGCAATGATTTGACTTTTCAATAAAGGAAGATGAGTGTAGGAGTGGAAGAAGGACTTGGTGCTTGGAATAATAAGCTTTACTTTCTTTTAAATCACAATTAGGATCAGGTACCTTAATCAAAATTCTTAAGCTCTTGCTTTATTTTTAAGAAAATATTAAGTAAATAAGAGCTCTTACATTCCTGCTAATGACATGTATGCAAAAAAATTTCTTTTTATGAATTATTTTTGCATATGTGTCAAACTGTGATTTGTAATCTTGTATCAAATATTAATCAGAAATGGTGTGGGGGGAGCAAATGTCGACATTAGCATTATGAGAAAAGATTAGGATTTAAGAAGAAGGATGAAGATTGGCTAAATTGGAGAAGCAATGATTTGACTTTTCAATAAAGGAAGATGAGTGTAGGAGTGGAAGAAGGACTTGGTGCTTGGAATAATAAGCTTTACTTTCTTTTAAATCACAATTAGGATCAGGTACCTTAATCAAAATTCTTAAGCTCTTCCTTTATTTTTAAGAAAATATTAAGTAAATAAGAGCTCTTACATTCATGCTAATGACATGTATGCAAAAGTTTTTCTTTTTATGAATTATTTTTGCATATGTGTCAAACTGTGATTTGTAGAAAGAAAGAGTGTCGTCTCATTGGTAATGAGGTAAATAATATCCTTATTTTTACTTTGATTTGCTAATGAGCACAACCTTTTTTCTTTTTTTTTCCCTCTACTTGATTCTCTAAAGTTTAATCTTTTGTGTGTCATTTCTCTCAACAATAATGCATACTCTGGAATTGAAAAGACACCCATCTTAGTCTCATTTGGTATCCATCCTCCTACCTGTAACCCAGTGTCCTTCCTTAGCCACAATCCAAATACTACAAAACTTGCCCATAACCCTCTCACAATCTGCAGCATCTATCAAATTATCAATCTCTCTCTCTCTGTGAATGGAAGAAGCAGAAAAGGCTTCATTTCAACCTTTGAGCCTCTAAGCCTCTTTGGTAAGAATATATGAGTCATACTTTCTGTCATACTTTCTTCTCTTTTTCTTCATCTCATGTCTTTTTAGAAGTTAGGGTTGTTCTGAGGGTTATAAATCTTAATTGAAGTGATTATTAACTTCAAGTTTCAACCTTTTGGAGTCTTGATGATTACTATTCACCACCACTTCCATAATCACAGAGACCATCAAGATATGCCTTTTTTGAAAGTCTTTTTTATCTAGTTGGAATCCTGACAAACATTACCATAACACAAAGGCCTCTATCTCTCTCTCTCAGTTTTGACAAGAGAGATATCAAAGAAGAGCCACAAGGTAAGAAACAACAAGTCCCCACTTAATTTTATGCAGTTTCCCTCACTACCATGAATTCTACCAGTCTTTGAAAGCCCCCACAACTCAGCTACCACCAGCCTTGCATAGAATTCCAACACCAAACACAGAGGTAGCTAGAGTGGAACAAAAAATAAGAGAAAGCTTTGCTCTGTACATGGGGAAGATGAATTCCCTTCTCTCAGTCTCCTTTGTGGTTCGATTTGGCGCCAAAAACCCATGGAGATATGAAACTCCAAGCTTATTTGCATAATCTGTTGAGCAAAAAGATACAAGCTTTAGCTTATTACAAAGCAGGAGGAAGGTGGGTTCTGTTTAGTTTTGCTGATTCTCAATCTAGTGAAGCAACCAATGGTAACTCTTCATTACCGTCCACACCGCCTACTTCTAGACCCATCAGGATCATCATCATCATCATCATCATCATCAACCACACCAGACCCAGCCAATGGAAGTAGGACACGTGGGACATACACCAATGAGGCCAACTTTGACACCAACATGGTCATCATCCTAGCAGCCCTGCTCTGTGCACTGATATTTGCTCTGGGGCTAAACTCAATCGTGCGCTGTGCTTTAAGATGCAGCAGAAGGTTCTCTTTTGAGACGCCAGATGAGACTGCTGCGCGCTTAGCAGCCACAGGGCTGAAAAAGAGCACATTGCGTCAAATTCCCATTGTGGCATATGGCTCAGGGGCTAATATTCCTGCCACAGACTGCCCAATTTGCCTTGGAGAATTTCAAGATGGCCAGAAAGTGAGGCTGCTGCCCAAATGCAACCATGGATTTCATGTCAGGTGCATAGACACTTGGTTTTTGTCACACTCTTCGTGCCCAACTTGCCGCCACTCGTTGCTTGAACAGCCAGCTGCAGCTTCAGATTCTGCAGAAGTTGCTGATGCTAGGCATACTGCTGGAAATGCATCATCTGGAGGTCAAGGTGATGTGCCAATATCTGTTGATGAAGCCAGTTGATAATGTTTTAAACTTATAGAGAGAGATTTTATTTATTTATAATATTGTTGGTTTACAAGTAGTTTTTAGATTTTGGTTATCAAATGTGTAATCTTATCTGAGGTGCTGTGGCAATGCCTACATATATATGAGGTTTTTGAGGAAATAATATAAATTTTCAGCAAAAATTGAGCACCTCATATGTTGGATAATATTATCTACTCTAATATTGCAGTGGTGTTTAACTTGAATGTGAAGGAAGATCCAATCCAAGTATAAATTTCAGCCGATTCATTTTATATGAATGTCTTGCCGTCTTGGTAATGCAAATCAATGAAGCAAACAAAAGCTCCCAACTATGCACTTGAGTTCGAATCCCTTCCCCATAATTTAGATTAGATTAAAGTATAACATTTTGCTTTTTCTTTTTCCCTCGCTTCCATTTGTAAAAGTTAAGCAGACAAATGCAAATATGATGAAAACATAGCATTTTTCAAGAACTCAAGCTGAATTAATTTGTCATCCATGATCCATATGCACCTTTCTCTTTTCCCTGTTTGATTTGATGGGCATGCAATTATTTATTTTGGTATAATATATAATATATGGGACACAAGTAAAAAAAGAAACATTATTTTGTGCTCACGGAATGGAATCTCAAACTCTTTTTTCCCCTCCATTCTTCACCTTTTTTGGCCCACAAGTAAGAAATTTTATTCCTGCACTACCTTACTCATGTTTTTAAGTAAATGAGCTGCAGCAGGATCAGTACTTGTGGGTGTGATGAGGACATTTTCTTAAGCATCATTTGTCGATGGACCACTCCCACAACCACACGCACCCTCTTCTTTTCAACCCGATTGATCAATAATATCTATCTTTAAGATTTTTCCTGGATTCCAAAGATTACTAAGAAGACATTTTTGTGTAGGGAAGCTTGAGGAACAATATTTGTGTACTCATGACTTGTGCGGGAGGCAGTAATTAATGTAGTCATGTTTCATGTTTCAATCCTTTGTGGCAACTTCTATTGGTAGAATCGTTTTTTCTTTTAATTAATGGGTTCGGGGATTCAAATTTGGGATATGTGCTAAAATTGAGACGAGACACATCGTTAAAGTAAGAGCTAGTTAATTTTGAATCTTAATAGAACCGTTTAAACGATATGCGTCCACTGAAACACCCACTAGCTATGACTACTACATCAAAAAAGGGTACATGAAGGTACCAATACAGTACATATATAGCTCGTCATGGATGAGCTACTTGCGCACACAGAAATTGATCAAGAGCAAATCCAACTTGGAATTTTTGGATTGTTGTGGACTATAAGGACTCAGTGAGCTTGTGGTTCACAATAAACTGAATATAGCAGACGATATGATTTCTTTGCGAGAATGAATATTAAGAAGAATTCCATCCAACCCCCCCACCCCCTTTTGTTTTCAAGGATCCTTCTACTACAACATCTTTTTACACATATTTCATTTTGATTTTATTTTTTGATTTGTTGTAATTGCAAATTCACAAGGTAGCTACTAGCTTAGGCAAGTTGTTTTTCATTTTTTATTTTTATACAATCAATTAAGGGGAGGGGAAAGGGAGGGGGAACTCACACACACAAGTACCATGGGACTTCAACACATGATCACATGAGAACACACCAAGACCTGGACCAATCCAACTAACACACCTAGTGCTATAATACCCTCGTTAGTTTAGGCAAGTTTTATTTGAGGAAAAAAACAAAGAAAAATTTGAAGTACCTACGTTAAAAAATGAGAGTGGCACGACGATTGATAGGTGTCATTGTGCTAATTTACAATTGAGTCAATTGATTGGAGTCATTCTATAGTGAGAGGCTTATATATGGCCTTAGGTGAGGTCATATCTCTTAACCGTTGAATCAAATTAACTGATTTGTTCCAACCATTAAGAGATAGAACCTCACCTAAGGGCCATATATAAGGCCCTCACTATAGAATTCTTGTTATTGATTGAGGTTGGTAGTTTAAAAATTGGCCAAGGCCCTGCAACAGCAGGGCCCAAGTAGAGATGTCAATCAGTTGAATTGGGCCTTGAGAAGGCATGGATTGCCCCTTGAGGTTCTTAAATGGCTTAGTCCATTTTACAACATGCTATTTTAGTTGGAGTCATTTTATAGTGAGGGCCGCTTAATCCAAGGCCTTTAGATGAAGTCTTATATCTTAAATGTTGGATAAATTAACCAATTTGATCCAACGGTTAATAAATAAGACCCTCGCTACAGAATTCTTGATTTCAGTTGGGGGTTAATGGGCTTAAGCCCAAAACCATACACACTTCTTGCAAAGATGTAGAAAGAAAAGGGAAAGTAGGAATATTATTTTCCATAAGCATAAAAAACTTGGAAGTTGGATGGACAGAAGTCTATATATATCATTCATTTTATTAAACAGAACAGAGCACAAGAAACACCAGGTTTTCCCATAAATTAACAAACTTCAAAATGAGCCCTTGCAATTGCAAACAGCAGCAACCCATAAAAAAGAGCCCAAAACCATACAACAAAAAGCTCTCACTTAGTCAACTCAGCTGAGAGTGTGTTAGCCAAGGATGATATGGTTGAAGGAGACACCCCTCTAGTCCCACCCAAATACCATTTCTTGATGTTCTCAACCACATTTGCATTCTCCACCTTGATTTTTGACTCTTCCTTCCCTTCAGTGTGAAAAGAAATCTGCATACACATAAACAAATAAGTAGAAATTATATCTAATTAGCTGAAAGCAATATTTCCTTAACAAAATCAATGTTATTTGGTTTGATTCTTACCTCAGCAGTGGCAGAAGTTGCTGGAAAATGAAATGTGATGGTGGAATCTTTCTTGAAGTACTTTGATTGGAAGAACTCAACAATTTTCTCCAAGGCTTCCTCCTCCTCTTCTTCATACTTGTCATCGGCTGCCAATCTATCCCTCACAGCACTCTCAAGCTGCACCCCATATTGAGACCCTTTGATCTCCTTGATCACCACAACCCTAAGGAATTTCTCAACAGGAGCTACAGGCATCCACAATTTGATCAAGGGATTAGAAAAAAGTAATTGAAGATTGCAACTTTTGGGATGTATGGTATTGCAATTTTACCAGAAATAAGAGCATCAAAGAAGTCATCATCTTCTGCAAGCACTCTCAAGCTGCACCCCATATTGAGACCCTTTGATCTCCTTGATCACCACAACCCTAAGGAATTTCTCAACAGGAGCTACATGCATCCACAATTTGATCAAGGGATTAGAAAAAAGTAATTGAAGATTGCAACTTTTGGGATGTATATGGTATTGCAATTTTACCAGAAATAAGAGCATCAAAGAAGTCATCATCTTCTGCAAGTTCATTTGCTTTCTTGGTTTTCCATTGTTGAAGATGTGACACAACTTCAGGGTCTAAGTAAACCCCAATTGCTGTGAACTTGATTTGAAGAAAGTGTATCTCAATGTCAGTGATCCCTGCCAAACCCAATTACCCATTAGCAATTTTTCATTTTCTTTTGCTTATCAAACACAAAAATGGTATGTTTAGCAAGTGCAAAAATGGCTTACCATGACCCAGCAGAGACAATGGCTTGGTGGTTGTGATCTGAGAAGGAAAAGGAACTTCATCTACCAATACCACTTCAGTACCCACTGTGGTGCACAAAGATACAAAATTTAGTCAAGCTTAAATTCAAGAACAAAACCCAACAGAAATAAAAACAACATGATTTCACAGAGAGACAGAGAGCTCTTACTCTTAGTGTGGCTGTGAGTTTTAGCAGGCAGCTATGGAGAAGATGAAGGAAGTAGATAGAAATGTTGTCTGAGAAAACAATGGGAATATAGCTGAGGGTTAGGCCTCTATATATCCTGGGCTGTGGTGTTCAAGCTGAGCTGACAATGCCTTCCAGTCTTGGCAAGGTGGTAGGTGTTACAGTGGAGGTTGAAAAGCTTGTGATCACATCTCACTTTCTCCAACTTAAATTTTAGTTAGAGTTTCATTTGTATAAAATTGGGTCTTCAATTGACACGTCACTTAGCAAATTGCCATAAAAAAACAATTCGGGGTGTCCTGTGGAGAAAATTCTCACACATAATCGTTGTATACAACCGATGATGCGACAGATTTTCTCAATCTTATAAAAGGAGGCTCCGAAAAAAATATTAAGTAATTTGATATGAATAGTGAGTTGGCAGAGAGGGTACATGAAACAGTCACACCAAGAAAGTCACTTGGTTTGTGAGGCACCAAAGATGGCCTCTTTCTTTTTCTGTATCAAATTTTGTTCAACAAGCTCCCTTGTGAGTGAACCTGTCCTATATTACAGGTAAGGGGCATATATGAAAAAAGAATATCCTATTTCATTATCGATTTGGCTGAAAATGAATATTGGATGGCCTCCATCTACCCGCGTGTTCAACAATTCAAGCTTGTAACAACCATTCCTTCTACCTACCTCCCCTATTTAATCTCTTCTGGTAGCACAGTTTCTAAGTTATGGCTGCTATACAAAGCACTGCGATGATTCGCAATTAAGGCGTCACTTATTGAAAACAACTATCGACGGCAATCAAGAAAGATAGACAAAAACGGAATCAGGTTTAAAATGAGCTACCCAAAGATTTTTCCACTTATACAGGTTAGGAAACTTGAATTCTTGATTGCATTCCTTGTACTCACAAGTGCTGGATGCTTCTTTGCTGAGCTTGGCTACGCAATTAAGGCGTCACTTATTTGAATATATTCCAATATTTAAATAGTATAGCCGCACGGCTATACTCTTTGAATATATTTCGAATATTTAAATAGTCTGGCCGGACGGCTATATTCTTTGAATATGTTTGAATATTTAAATCGTACCGCCGCGCGGCTATACTCTTTGAATATATTTGAATATTTAAATCATACCGCCGTGCGGCTATACTCTTTGAATATATTTCAATATTTAAATCGTATAGCCGCGCGGTCCGCGCGGAGATACCCTGTGCATATTTTCGAATATATAAATAGTAAAGCCGAACAAAACTAAACGAACAACCTTTGTACTAGTGAGAGCGCGCTCTTCTCTTTCTTCTGCAAAATTCAAATTGATTCAAATTGAATATCAAATAATAAAAAATCCCACGGATCTGCTACGCAAAACTTCAAAACCCTAACCCACCAACCCCTCTTCCCTCTCAACCTCAACCTTCCATTCTTGTTTGCTCCCGTGGGGAGGTCCAAAGATTCATCATTTCAGCAATTACCCTTTTCGTTTTTGTTTCAAAAGTTTACAAATTTTAGCGGCCATGAGTCAGATTTAGTGGTTCTTGCAAAAGGGTCAGTTTTTAAATTGGTGTATTTGAATTGGGTTCAAAGATTACGGAAGACCGATGTGATTCAGGAAAAGGGTTGGTCTCGATACCCAGACGGATTCAAAGGTTGGTTCTCTTTCCTGCGCTTAGTTTGCATTTGAGGTTATATGTTCTCTAGTTTTCGTTCATTTCACTAGTTTCTGATTTTTTATTTTTTGGGTTGTTTCAAACGGTATAGCCGGACGGCTATATTCTTTGGATATATTTAAATATTTAAATAGTATAGCCGCACGGATATACCTTGTGCATATATTTGAATATTTAAATCGTATAGCCGATCGGCTATACCCTGTGCGTATTTTCGAATATTTAAATAGTACATAGCCGCGCGCTATACGCTTTGAATATATTCCAATATTTAAATCGTATAGCCGTGCGGCTATACCTTGTATATTTTCGAGCGTTTAAATAGGATAGCCGCGTACCCGGTGCATATTTTCGAATATTTAAATAGTATAGCCGCACAGCCATATCCTGGCATTTTTTAGTATTCAAATAGTATCGCTGCGCGGCTATACCCTGTGCATATTTCCGAATATTTAAATAGGATAGCCGGTCGGCTATAACCTGTGCATATAATCGAATATTTAAATAGTATAGCCGCCCGGCTATATACTGTTCATATTTTCAAGCATTTAAATAGTATAGCCGGCTGGCTATACTCTCTAAATATATATATATATATATATATATTAGTTTTTTTATTCGAATATACCTATCTTTTTTTATTATTATTTTAGTTTAATATTTGTAATTAAGAAATATCTTAGCCTTATTTAATTACTTTAGTGTTCGGTATGATACAATGTGAAAAAGGTACCTAGTGAAGGTGAAAATGAAGTTCGGCTTTAGTGTTTGGTGATCTACTTCTTGATATGCTTGATAAAAACACCTACACAAACTAGTAATAGGCTAGTTGAGGTTGTGTTTGCTTAAATAGGACTATAATCATTCAATATGGTGAAGTGAAAAACAAAGAGTATTTCCCCAGTACTCTATTGTTAAATTATTCTGAGTTTTGTCTTGAGAATACAAATATATAATTGCTTCGTCATAGTCTTAAATTGAAGTGCTTCAATTTAGGATTATTGATTGTTAAATCCTGGGAGATGGACTCTTATAGAACTACGAGCATAAGGGCATGGGCGAAATATGTCTTTAGGACATTGCAATTCTTGCAAGCCTCAATTGCTAAAGTTGTCAGTATTTCTATTCGTGTTTGTTAATTTACATTAAGTTCACGTAAATTTGTTATTGTATTTGATGATTACAATTTTGTTGAGAATTATTATAATCTAAATTCATATTTTCTATTGTTCCGTGAACAAATATTAGTTCTATCTTTTGAGTCATTCAGTCATTGAATTAGTTCTATCCATCATCTGATTTTGCAGTTAATTGAGAAAGTTTAGAAGACTTTGGATAAGGCTACTCAGACATTGACGTTCACCTTGCCATTCCCTATGCTGGTTTACCCTTTCTATCAGGTGAGACTTCTGTCTTGCTTCTTAGTTATTATTTACATAATTAATGAGCTTGGGGATTTCTTTCTCTGATTGGGTATATGATGCTGATTTCTTTCAATCACAGTGGAGTCGAAGTCCAGGAAAGAGTGGCTCTCATTTTGATCCAAACAGCGAATTGTTTGTCCCAAATGAAAGGGAAAATATCATTACCTTCACTGCCTGTTGGACAGCAATGGCTGCGCTGCTAGTCGGTCTGTCTTTCGTAATGGGTCCGGGCCAAATGCGTAAGCTCTATGGCGGGTATGTTTTTTTTCTTGTGGATCTACATAATTGGCAGAAAATGATAATCTCTACCAGTAAGTCTTCATTCTCTCATTCTCACATTAATGTCTTTGGACCTACGTTCAAATGCAGTTGTTTGTCATGTGGTTGGACTTAGTCACTTACTTGCATCACCATGGCCATGAGGACAAACTCTCATGGTATCGTGGAAAGATAAGGTGTTCAGATCGAGGAGACGAAAATATAGATCGAAGGGACGAAAGAAAGGACCGAAATCAGAGAACCGAGAAGGAAGAACAGAAATCACATAGTTTAAGAGAAGGTTTACTCAATATTCAAATCTGAATTTTAAAGAACTACATGGGGGTATTTATAGCAAACTAAAACCTAGACATAATAGGATAAAAATCCCTTGCTTAAAGGGAAATCCTAACCCAAATAAAATAGGAAACTTAAAACTAGAAATCTGGAAATCTGGAAAAGTAGAAATCCTACTAGAATTGGGAAAACTAGAGAATCTAGGAAACTAATAAATTTAGGTCATATGCGTCCTGCATCACACCTGTTCCCTTAAATCCCACACTCTATAACTTAGTAGAAGCAGTGAGTACCACTTGCCTAAACACATTTAGCTGGAAAAAATCAATTCAATTATGTACCCCATTTTGATATGGTTCTTGTTAATTCATCATATTAATCTTTTCAGATGGCGGCAGCTAAGCCTGTGCTTGGGAAGTACTACAGAGAGCCAAAGAAATCTGGGCCTCTCCCACTTCACTTATTGGGAGTTTCTTAACTTATAACGTCAGTGATACTGGGGATGTTGGATATTATCAAACTGATAAGAATCTCGGCGGGTCAGTGTTTTGATTATATGAAAAAACACTGTATTCTAATTTTATTATTACTTGACACACCAGTAACTAATTGGCCACGGCGTTAAAAATTGTATGAATGTTACAAGAGTTCAGAAGTTCAAAATTTTCCCGATATATTAAAAAAAGAAAAATATAAAATAGTAATAATAAGATCACAAACTTCCTCTAGTCTCACTCTCATAGAATAACCTTTGAGTGCCATTGTTCTTCTTCTTCAACCAAATCCCCATAATTCTTTAGAGAAATCATATTGTCGGTACAACTATGGATCGTCATATGAGTTTGTCTATCTTTGAGTAGTACACTCTTCATGGACTTACGTGTTAGATCCACAAAGAATATACTTCTCCTACATAGATAGTTCTCCTCGTGGAAAAATATACCGTGCTCCCACTCGCCAAAGTCGAAAACCCCAGACGCTTGAGTATCAAGACGAAGAGTATGTTTGTGCATATATATTTTGTAATTTAGCACCCACTCATGTTTCTTCCTTCTTCAACCAAATCCCCATAATTCTTTAGAGAAATCATATTGTCGGTACAATTATGGATCGTCATATGACTTTGTCTATCTTTGAGTAGTACACTCTTCATGGACCTACGTGTTAGATTCACAAAGAATATACTTCTCCTACATAGATAGTTCTCCTCGTGGAAAAATATACCGTGCTCCCACTCACCAAAGTAGAAAACCCCAGACGCATGAGTCCCAAGACGAAGAGGATGTTTGTGCATATATATTTTGTAATTTAGCACCCACTCATGTTTCTTTTTATCATCATAATTTTTCAATACCAATACCCATATCTCTATATCTGACGAAGAAACATCCACTAGGGCCAAAGATCCCCTGAAATTAAGCAAGTGAACAAAAAGTGAAAGATCCAACTTTATCTTTAAGGCAAGGGGATGAGGAGTCCAATAGAACTCCTCGTTCTTGAAGTCAAAAGAAAGTATATGTATCGACAACTTGTCATCTCCACTAATCAGCCAATGCACGGCTCCATGTGTAGATGTTGCCACAGTGCAAGATGGATAGCAAGGGGGAGCTAATGGTAACTCCTGCCATGAGCTTGTCCCCAATACAAGAACTTCAGCCGTCACCACTGTCTGGTGGTCCTCCTTTAGATAGCGGGAGACACGAACAATCTTGTAGGTGTTTGTCATATTATCAAATCCCATGCCAAAAGTATCACTGTTGCAGAAACTATTAGGTGGAACTTGGAGGTCACTCTTAGTTGGGAGCATTAGAACTTCTCTCTTCAAAGGATTCACCAAGACAAATGATCTTCCATTCCTCACATCACTCCTCGTAAAGCCAAACAAGTTGCAGAAAACAAAATCGTGCTCATAATAAGAACCTATGGACTTTAATTGAGGAACAATTGCATGTTTGCTCTTTGTCAATGAGTCGCCATCGTATTTCAATGGGTGCATCCTTTGTTCACCATAGGGAGAGGGAGAAAGAAGAAAAAGTCGAGGTACTTGATGAATTTTCGTGGGTAAGGCGTCCATCAAGAATTGGATCCCCAAGAAGTTGTTCACTTGATCAAGACTAATGTACGGATTTTGGAGATGAAAATATTTGTTATATGTCTTCAATTGCTCATCCAGCTCCCCTATTTATATACAAATAGATATCTTCTAATATTTTAATTCAACGTCCTAAACCCTAATGCATGTTGGAAATCAAATTAAATTAGGAAATAAATTAATGTATATTTATATTTATCCTAATTACACTAGGATAATTATTTAATTATCCAATTAAATTAGAAAATAAATATTTGTTCCTACTTATAACTTTCAATACGATATTAGGAAATAAATTAATGCATAATCCTAGTGATCCTAATTACGCTAGCATAATTATTTAATTATCCAATTAAATTAGAAAATGAATATTTGTTCCCACTTATAACTTTCATTACGGTATTAGGAAATAAATTAATGCATATTTCTAATAATTATCCTATTTACACTAGGTTTTATATCGTCCCAGGTTTCCTCTCTCTCGATTAATATGTATATATTTTTTTTCTGGGTAAACATTTTTTCTTTTCTTTCACCAAGATATATATTTAACATAATTTCTCTTTTTTCTTATATATTAAGAAAGAACTTATATAATATTCATAGCTCTCAAAGAAGAATGAAATAATGAACAAAATTTGATTGCATTGAATTGAAGAATCGTTGATTTCATCCTTCTTTGGTAACTTTTGGTGAATCACACCGAATAAGAATTAGATATTCCATTATTAAAATACATTTCATCATATTTATTTAAGTGACAATTTAGATAGACATTTTCGGGTATTCAAATAGTATAGCCGCGCGGCTATCCCTTAGCCGTTCGGCTATACTCTCTAATTAACCGAATATCTTTGGGCTGAGAAGTTGCCATGATTTCCACTCAGTTATTAGAAGTTCCTGCCAATTGTAATCCTGTCACCTACCGAGGGCAGGCCCTCTAACTGGATGATCATCGGTGATGTAAACAAAGCATTGCGATGATTAGCAATTAAGGCGTCACTTACTGAAAACAATTATCGACGGCGAACAAGAAAGATAGACAAAAACGGTGACAATGTGGACAATGTCATTGGCATAGTTGCATTGGGATCTCTGCCCAATGCAACCACTTACAACTTTACCCGCTAGGAACATACCAAAAATACAAGTACAAGGTTCTTTCTTTTATCTCTTTCTAGTTTGGACTTTCCCACCTAAACTATGAAATCACAAAATTAATTTGTAGTTAGTGTGCTTATTAGAAATTCAACATCAATTGAACATACATCCAAAAGCTAACAGTGTTTGGCAGAAAGAATTAAAAAATGTTTATAGGTTCGAAAGCGTTTATAATCAGAAGTAAAAGCACTCTCGAACAATCCCTTAATTAAAAAATACCTAGTTAGGAAAATTTTTAGACATTTGGCTTAATTTGCATCGATCCTTCAGGCCCTATATAATACATACCATCTTCTTCAACAAACTATAACATTAACAATGGAAGTCCTTTCAGAGCTTAATATTGGACCGTCAATACAATTTATCACGGTTTTTGTGGTGACCCTGATAGCCATTTTTGCTGAATTCAACATCAATTGAACATACATCCAAAAGCTAACAGTGTTTGGCAGAAAGAATTAAAAAATGTTTATAGGTTCTAAAGCGTTTATAATCAGAAGTAAAAGCACTCTCGAACAATCCCTTAATTAAAAAATACCTAGTTAGGAAAATTTTTAGACATGTGGCTTAATTTGCATCGATCCTTCAGGCCCTATATAATACATACCATCTTCTTCAACAAACTATAACATTAACAATGGAGAAGATGGACTTCCATTGATTGGAGAGTCCATAAGCTTCATCAGGGCACAAAAACAGGACAAAACGGGTGAGTGGATCCAAACCCGAATCCGAAAGTATGGGCCAGTATTCAAGACCTCACTCATGGGCGATAAGACCGTGGTTTTGACGGGTCAAGCCGGTAACCGGTTTGTATTCAGCGGAAGTGACAATGGAATTGCAGGCAACCAAGTAGAAACTGCATCCAAGATTTTGGGAAAGCACAGCATCTTTGAGCTTTCTGAGTCTAGGCACAAGCTTGTCAGGAGTGGACTGATGAGTTTCTTAAAACCAGAAAGCATTCAGAGATTTGTGGGGGAAATGGATTCTCTCGTCCAACAACAACTCTTTAAGGTAATTTCGAATTTGGCAGGTCATATTGCAATGTCACGTGACTTAGCTTAATTAACATGCTAACATAACTATAATTTTAGGAGTTCTTAGATTCGAAACACTTATTTTTATCTTCTTAATTGATTAGTAAGTCCATGCTTAGATCGCATTTGCCAATTTTGTATTTGTAGTTTTTGTACGCATTTGACCACCTACTCACATTTGTAAGATGGCGGTGTATATGAGGAAGGGTGTTAACTTGATTGTTGTCTCTAAGGCCGAATTAAGTTGTATGTCCTTTTTTATTTTTCAGAGATAATTGCCTAACTTTGATTTATAATTTCAGGAACTCAATGGCAAAGATTTGGTACAAATGGTGGGTTTAATGAAGAAAATAACATTCAAGGTGACTTGCAGTTTGCTTTTTGGACTTCCAGAAGGGCAGGAGAAAGATGAATTGCTTGAAGATTTTGCCATTGCAACCAAGGGTCTGTGGGCAATTCCATTGAACATTCCAGGGACAATCTTTTACAAAGCCATGCAGGCACGTGGCAGGATATCAAAGATCCTCATAAATCTCATGCAAAATCGACGAGGAGAGGAAGACAAAAATAGCCCCCAGAAGAATGACATCATCTCAGTCTTCCTCCATCTGAGAGATGAAGCTGGCGAGCCTCTGCAAGTGGAGGAGATTCTTGATAATCTCATCACTCTCGTAGTTGCTAGCCATGACACCACCACAATTCTCCTCGGCCTCATTTTAAGACATCTTTCTACGGACGCCAAGACTTTTGGTGAGGTGCTTGAAGGTAATGAAACTTTGCTAATTAATTGTTAATTACATGATTAAAGATGTCAATTAATGTCACGTCATAAAATTACTTACAGTAACTTATTAGATTGTGGGTTGGTATATATCACCTTTTTCTCTTTCTTAATATAATAAACAATATTGGACGAAGAATCAAATAATAAACCTAGAGTATTATTGCGAATACTTTTAATCACTTGAACTTCGCATATATATAGTTAACTAACTACCTCCTAAGTATATATATTTTTTAAATAATTGCTGACAGAGCAAAAGGAAGTAGCTAAGGCTGTGAAAGCAAGTGGTGATGAGGGAAGGCTTACATGGAGTGAAATCCAAATGATGAAGCATACATGGAGAGTGGCCCAAGAGCTTATGAGATTGACTCCTCCAGTTTTTGGCAACTTCAAATGTGCTTCTAGAGACACTAGTTTTGACGGCTTTCACATCCCCAAGGGATGGAAGGTATTATACTTGGTATTTTTCTACAGTGTATTTGTATGAAAAACGTAAATGCGTCGTCTCTATATATGTTGTGGAAACGTAAATAATATGTAGTGTTACTAATTATAATCTCAGGTTTTCTGGGTTTCTTCTGCTACGCACATGGACCACAACCTATTTGAAGATCCAAACAAGTTTGATCCATCGCGGTTTGAGAGCTCAAAGAAATCATCATATCCCCCATACACATACATTCCATTTGGAGCAGGCCCTAGAATATGCCCCGGCTTAGAATTTGCAAGAGTAGAAGTGCTGCTCATCATTCACCATTTCATTACAAATTATTCTTGGACACCAATCATCAAGAACGAGCCCATAAGATGTGAACCCATGCCATATCCAGCCATGGGCCTTCCAGTTAAGCTTCGTAAAAATGAATCATCTTTAGTAATTCACAAGTAACTTGTAGTTCAAATTGTTAAGAAAAATCAATAAATATCTTATATTATAAGATCATTATATTAATACACGATTATAAAATGTAGACAGTAGCAATATACGAAAATTGTATAAATTAATTACAAAATACTATTATTAGTCAAGCAAGCCAATTATGTATAGACTTCACTATCAAGCCCATCAGCCCACCAATCTTATTTAATTGGTGTTAAGGTTTCATGCTTATAAAGCATGTGGAACCTTTTGTTTCCTTCAACATAAGACATTTGCCTTCAAACTTCCAACACAAATAATTAGAAGAATTTTCATAAACCGTACGTTGAAAATGTCATAACGTGAGCTTTGATTGTTCAAAGTCTTTCTCGATGGTCAATCATAGGGGCCAAACTTGAGAGTATTGACCAATTTCTTTGAAGTCGCATGCAGCCTACTTTCAAGTTTCAAATATTATATTAATAGTCACCGTTTTCTAATGTTGATTGACAAATAAT